CCCGTTCGGGAGGGATTATAAGCCAATTAAAATTGAAAATATGGTCGTTATTGGATCCCACTCGTCTAATAAAAGTCAACAATAACGGCTATATTTTCAATTTTAATCCGATTTTAATCCTTCCCATACAAGGCCTAAATATTTGGATATTTTCTTGGATCTTGAAATAATGATACAACCATCCAAAAGACTCATTGACTTTCACAACTCCTTTGTAAGAATCCTATTCTTTTACAATAATCCTTTTGTCTAAAAAAAATTGCCAATACAACAACCTAACAGAGGCTATAGGGAAAAAAGTTTCAGACTTTCAATAGATTTTAATAAAAATTAAAATAATGTGTGGTTGAAAAGTTGTGAGTTCCATAATATTTGTTATAATTAATTGTTAACTTTGACTTAAATTTTAATACTTCTATGAAAAATATAAGGTTTTTGTGTGTTCTAATGACCAGTTATGAACCTTGCAACGAGTTTGTATGAAACTTATAAATCCTTTAAAATATTAAATTAAAATTTTATTAAGAGAAAATAATGTGTAACTATTGACTCATATTTACAGTTATCTATATAGGACAGAGGCCTCAGAGAAATTTACTCTAAAAATATTGAGTTTTTTTTTAAAATTCAAAATCACACTTTTATTAAACAAAATAAAGACCTCATCCTCTCATTTATGTCGAAAGTTTGAATTATTGCTAAATTGCTCATTATAATAATAAAAACTCACTTTCAGTAGTGTTAAAATGATCGAGTTGAATTGACTCGAGCTGCCTCACAATCTTAATCAAGCTTGTCAAAATTGACTAGGATCGGATTGCATCGACCTTTATAATTTATTATACAAAAATTTAGTGGAAAAAATAAATGAAAGTAGAATACTGAAAAATGACTGTGGTGTTCATGCCGACAAGTCTCACGGTCGGGCCATCCTCATGGTTTGAATTTTTTGCAGTGAGTGTGAAAGTGGACTAGTTTCGCCCATTTTGACACTACCAATAACAAAGCATTTGTATTTGTGGTATAGGACAATCATTTATATTCAAATGAACTTTTGCTAAGAATTTTGATAGCAAAAAATCCCTACCAAAATTCAAAAGTATATTGACACAAATAGCACTTAGGGTCTGTTTGTTTTTTATTCTCAAATTTTACAGTAAATCAATTCTCATTTTCAACCACACATTTTTCAATAAAATAATATTTTCCATCACATCAATAATTTTTTCTTCTTTTTCAACTACACATTTCCCATCATATCACTATTCAAAAATCAATTCTTCCCCCGAAAATTCCTACCAAACAAGCACTTAATGGAGCCAATTAGCAACAATAATTACTCAGTTTAAAGCACCGGGTTACTTTTCGAAAGTACCAATAATCAGAGCCCAATCCTCAGTCCAACAATTATATTTTAGAGAGAAAATTCACGAATACATTTAGCTCCCATTTGACAATCATTAGAGTAAAATGGAGTTTTGAACCGTGATCTTTAAGAAATGTGTGGTTAAAAAAATTTGAATTTACATATAGAATATTTTATTGAGTAAATGTGTGATCGAAAATGAGTATGTAAAAAAAAAAAATTTAAAATATAAAGAAGGGAAAGTCCCTGCACCCTTGAAGGATGGGTGCTCCTGTATTTATATAGGTACGTATACAATCACAATAATATCCTTATATACTCTATTACCCTCCCTCAATTTGAGCGTGGTGAAACAACGCCCAAATTGTTACATAGCAATCGAAATCGAGAAAAAGAAAGAGCCTTTGTAAATATGTCAGCTATCTGTTGATCACCACTAACATGAAGTACAACAATATCCCCATAGAACTCTCTCTCTCTGACAAAGTGTAAGTCAACTTCCAAATGTTTTGTACATGCATGATTAACTAGGTTAGCAGCAAGATATGTAGCAGAAATATTGTCACAATAAACCTCCATGGGTAGTTGTAAAGAGACATGTAAATCATTCAAAACAGACCGTAGCCAACAAATCTCAGCCACCATTGCTGCAAGAGCGCGATATTCAGATTCGGCACTACTACGAGAAACAGTGTGTTGTTTCTTAGCAGCCCATGAAATATGATTATTTCCTAGGAAAACACAAAAACCTGTAGTAGACCGGCGCGTATCAGGACAGCCTGCCCAATCAGCATCACTAAAAGCCACCAAATTAGAAATTGCACCTTTATACAATTGCAAACCATATGAAACGCTGCCTTTAATATAACGCAATATTCACTTTACCACTTGAGGATCATGCATATTCTGGCAAACATAGATAAAAGCATAGGAAATTTCAGGATGTGTGAAAGTAAGATATTGTAAACCACCAACAATACTTCTATATAAAGAAGGATCAGAAAATTTAGAAGTAGCTGTGGAAGAGACACTGCGGCTACTCATAGGAGTATCAACAGAACTGTATATCTCCATATTCTCCTCGTGCAACAATTTCATGGCATACTTTTTCTGACACAAAAACAAGCCATTTGAATTTTCCTCTACTTGTATACCAAGAAAGTAATGTAATGACCCCATATCAGTCATAGAGAACTCATTCTTCAACAACTGAATACGATTTTGTAAATGAGAAGAAGATGATGCTGTGAGAACTATATCATCAACATATAATAGTAAAACAGCCATACCATCTTTTCCTTTATACACAAACATACTGTAATCTGATTTGCAGCCATGAAAACCAATTTTAACCAAGTAAGAAGTGAACTTGTGAAACCACGCCCTTGGAGCTTGGCGAAGACCATAAATAGCCCGATTCAACTTACAAACAAATTCTGGCCGTTGGGGATCAACAAAACCTTCTGGTTGAAACATATATACATCCTTCTCAAGCATGCCATGTAAAAAGGCATTCTTCACGTCTAGTTGATGAACATGCCGCCATGAGAAAGAGCCATTGAAAGAACTAGACGGATAGTAGCAGGCTTCACCACTGGACTAAAAGTCTCGTCAAAATCAACTCCTTGACGTTGATTAAATCCCTTAACAACAAGTCTAGCCTTGTAACGTTCTACAGTACCATCTGCCTTGGATTTCAACTTATAAACCTATTTACTCCCAATTACATTGCCAGCATCAGCAGGTGGAGGCACCAAAGTCCAGGTGTGATTTGCTTGCAAAGCATTATACTTGGCTAACACAGCATCACGCCATGGTTGGTGTTTTGCAACTTCACGATAAGATGATAGTTCAACAAGTGTAACATGTGTAAGTAAGGACACAATCTTTTTCGGTTTGGAAACTCCCGCCTTTCCCCTTGTAGTCATAGCATGGGTGTTTGGATTTGGAACTGAGGGAATATCTTGTGTAATTGGCAAAAGTCAGTCGTCATAGAAGGAAGGATTTCAACGTCCAAATCTGTATTGATTGGACTAGACGAAGATGAAGAATTGGTTAAGGAAATATGAGTATTTAGTGGAGAATTCACATCATGATTGCGATCTGTTGACAAGTTTGGAGATGGGGATAAAGAAGATATGGAAAGAGAGGCGTTGAAATGATTATGGGAAGAGGATGGCGTTGATTGAGGAGATAAAGAAGGTAAGGGATTTTACGTGGGGATTAGGAGATTTGCGGGATTTGAAAATCTTCCAAGACCATCATCCTTATCCATACGTGGATTTGGACAGCTAGCTGCAATCTTTGAAAAGTGAAAAATAGTTTCCATGAAAGTAAAATGTTGTGATACATAAACCTTTGAATTAGACAAATCAAAACACCGATAGCCTTTCTGAGAAGAAGCATACCCGAGTAAAATACACTCCCTTGCACGAGGAGCTAGCTTGTGTGGTAGTGGATTGGTTATATGTGCATAGCACAAACACCCAAAAATACACAAGTAAGAGATATCAGGCTGGCTGCTATACAATAATTTATGTGGACTTTGAAAGTGTAGAGAAGCATGGGGAATCTTGTTTATCACATGTACTGCTGTTGTAAAGCTTCAACCCAAAATTTTGCAGGCATATATGAATTAAATAATAATGTTCGAACGGAATTCAAGAGAGTGCGATGCAATCTCTCGACCTTGCCATTTTGTTGAGGCGTCCGTGGACAAGAAAACCTCGCAACAATACCAGAGTTAAGAAACAGGTGCTCAAACTTCTTGTTAAGAAATTTCTCTCCACTATCACATTGAAACTGCTTTATTTTGCCATTACATTGAGTTTCAATCATTACTTTAAAATGGACAAAATGGTCAAACACCTCACTTTTTAATTTCATTGGGTAGACCCAAGAATAACCAGTATAATCATCATGAAACAAAACATAATATTGAAAACCACTGAAAGAGGAAAGTAGAGACTGCCAGACATCAGAATGTATTAACAGAAATCAAATTATGATTCCATTGAGGTACCACCAAAACATCACGAAGAATAAAACTAGAAACGGAAGTGTGAATTATTTTCTGACCAATATGAGTGATAGGGAGAGAAGTACCATCGCCAACTTTAACGCTGTCACCACCTATGTAAGGCTTATAAAAATCCAAATTACTCAAGTCATTTGTCATATGGTGTGAGACTGTGAGGCACCTGTGTCAGCGTGCCATGTTGGCCGAGAAAAATGCAAACCCACAAAGGCCTGTGAAATATCTGAAGATGGAAAATTCCGTTGTGTACAAAATTTGGCAAAATGAGAAAAATCATCACATATTTGGCATCGTGTGGCAAGAGGAGGATCGCTTAAAACAGAAGGTGACCATGGCCTAGAACCACCTTGAGGACGAGATTGATAATGCCCATAATAAGAACCACGTTGATTATAGCCAAAGGATCGTGGTTGTTAATGGTTCGAAGTATACCCCCGAGAATAAAACTGGCGTCCTCCTCTCTAATAGTTTTCCCGATATGATCAAGGTTGATAATTACCACGTCCTCTAGTTGCCAACATAGCCTGAGCATTAGTGGAGTGAACAGTAGTGCCTTGTTGAATGCATGATTCATGGGCAAGAAGGAACGACTGTAACTCAAGAAAACTGGGCAATGGTTTCCTCGCTGTCATTACAGGCATCAGAATATTCGGGCAGCAATCCAGATAAAATTTGCAATATCACGTCATCATCATCAACTAGCCTTCCAATAGAGTGCAAAGAATCAACTGTGGATTTTATGAACTGAAGAAATTCTGCCATTGATTGAGTCCCTTTAGAAGCTTGATTGAAAGCCAACCTTAATTGCATATATTTGGCATTAACATGATCATGTAATAATTTCTGAATTTCAAGCCAAGTCCGATGAGCAGAAAATTGTTTGCCAGGCTGAAAAACATGTTTCAAGATCTCTGGAGAAATAGTAGCATGAAGCCAAGAGACAATAAGATGATCAATCTGAATCCATAGAGTATAAGCAGGATTTATTTGTGTAGAGGAGGAATCATCATTATCAATGGAGATAGTTGTAGAAGGGCATTTAGAAGTTTCGTCAATATGATCACAGATGTGATAACAATGAAGAATATTGGTGAATAAAGTCTGCCACAATAAGAAATTGGTGAAATCGAGAAACATCACATATTTGGCATCGTGTGGCGGGATGAGGAGCGCTTAAAATAGAATGTGACCATGGCCTAGAACCACCTTGAGGACGAGATTGATAATGCCCATAATAAGAACCACGTTGATTATAGCCAAAGGATCGTGGTTGTTGATGGTTCGAAGTATACCCCCGAGAATAAGACTGGCGTCCTCCTCTCTGATAGTTTTCCTGATATGATCAAGGTTGATAATTACCACGTCCTCTAGTTGCCAACATAGCCTAAGCATTAGTGGAGTAAACAGTAGTGCCTTGTTGAATGCATGATTCATGGGCAAGAAGGAACGACCGTAACTCAAGAAAACTGGGCAATGGTTTCCTCGCTATCATTATAGGCACAACATCGGAATATTCGGGCGACAATCCAGATAAAATTTGCAATATCACATCATCATCATCAACTAGCCTTCCAATAGAGTGCAAAGAATCAACTGTGGATTTTATGAATTGAAGAAATTCTGCCATTGATTGAGTCCCTTTAGAAGCTTGATTGAAAGCCAACCTTAATTGCATATATTTGGCATTAACATGATCGTGTAATAATTTCTGAATTTCAAGCCAAGTTCGACGAGCAGAAAATTGTTTGCCAGGCTGAAAAACATGTTTCAAGATCTCTGGAGAAATAGTAGCATGAAGCCAAAAGACAATAAGATGATCAATCTGAATCCATAGAGTATAAGCAGGATTTATTTGTGTAGAGGAGGAATCATCATTATCAATGGAGATAGTTGGAGATGGGCATTGAGAAGTTTCGTCAATATGATCATAGATCTAATAACAATGAAGAATATTGGTAAATAAGGTCTGCCACAATAAGAAATTGGTGAAATCGAGAACAATAGAAACATGATTTTTAATATTGCTAATATTGAAAACAGAATGAGGCTGAATAAAAGAAAAAGGAAGAGAAAACGATTGGGAAGAAGAAGAGGAAGTAGGAGAAGATTGTGTAGTTTCCATTGGGGGAGAAGGAAAGAAAATTATTAGAGGATTTGCTCTGCTACCATAAAGAAGGGAAAGTCTCTGCACCCTTGAAGTATGGGTGCTCCTGTATTTATATAGGTATAGTATGTATACAATTACAGTAATATTCTTATATACTCTATTAAAATAGTTTTAAAATAATGGTTGTCTAATATCCTTGTTTGATAGCCATTATTTAGCCAAAACAATGTTTTGAATAATAATATGTAGGAGAATGTGTGGTTAAAAAGTAGGGAAAACAATTGAATTTACGTGCAGAATATTTTATTATATGAATGTGTAGTTAAAATGAATATGTAGAAAAAAGGGTTTTCAAATAATGGTTGTCAAACAAGGGTAATAAGCTTACTAATTACTTTTAAGCATCTATTTGACAATTATTATTCGGGAAAACAATCATTTGAATTGCGATTCTTAAGAGAACGTGTGATTAAAAAATAGAAAAAAATTTGAATTTGCATGCATAATATTTTATTGTATTAATTTGTGATTGAAAATGAGTATGAATAAAAAAGAATTTTCAAATAATAATTGTCAAACAAAGACTAAATCTTTTACTTTTTAAATATACATATTAAAAAAAGTGTATTAAGCTATTGTTTGATTTCCTTTACTTTAGTTTATTTATTTCGCATACTCATTTTCAAACACATATTCACAATTTTATTCTACACGTAAATCTAAATTTTGTAACAACACATTCTTCAAAGCATACTATTCAAAGCTATGTTTTTTACAATTTTAAGGCCACCAAACAGGAGCTAAATTGTTACACAATTTGTTTCCCTCATCACGCCTCCACCAACAGTAACTCATTTTCGGTATTAAAAAAATATCTAAACTGTTGTTCCCCCACCTAACAGACGGTGTTACATCGCCACCAACATTGCTGCCACTTGCTCGCCATTACAACAATTGCCATTACCATCACTCATAAACCTTAACACTACCATTATAGCCACCATCACCACCATCAATGCCACCCTAACACAAACACCAAAATCAAGAAAAAAAAACAATTAATACATCTACTATTGGTTCCATTTTCACCAACTCATTTTCTCTAAGAGTTCAAAGCCAATAACCACAGAATCACCAAGAAGAAAGGAGATTCAAGTTCTTTTAAAAATTCAAATTCATAATTCATTTGGAGAAATTTTCCAGCAATTCCAACACCACCAGCCCCAATAATTTCTTCAGCATTGGCGAAGCAAAGGCAGCGAATGAGATCCAGCTCGACCACCACATTCAAAACGAGTTCAAATCTGAAAATTCTGTTTTCATATTTTTACTCTCTAAATCAGGCATACTTTAAACTCCTTTTTCTTTTTTACAAAATGGATTTAATTTTGTTCACATAATAAATGCTGCCTTCGCAGGAGAAAATAGTGGTGATCAGGGGCAGAACCATTAAGGGTCCAGTGGAGGCAACTGCCCCCACTGAACCCCTTAATTTTTAACATTTAAGAAAAGGCCATTCTTAACCCAAACACATGCACTTCCCTCGCAACGCATTGATGCACCAGTAGCATAAGTAGTCTGGCCATCCACTGGACCCTTTAATTTTTAACATTTAAGAAATGCCATTTTTAACCCAAACACATGCACTTCTCTCGCAACGCATTGATGCACCAGTAGCACAAGCAGTCTGGCCATTTGTCCACCGTTTCGACTACCCACTGAAGTACAAACACTTCATCAAGAGCAGCAACATGGTCGTCGGTGATGGTAGCATTGGCAGCATAAGGGAAGTAACCGTAGTATCTGGGCTTTCAGCGTCAGCCAGCACCGAAAGGCTAGAGATTTTGGGTGAAGAAAAACTCATTTTAAACTTTAGAGTTGTTGGAGGAGAGCACAGATTAAACAATTATCGATCTGTTACATCTGTTAATGAATTTATTGATGCAGAAAACAAGATTTGCACCATTGTTTGGAGTCTTATATAGTTGATATACCGGAGGGGAATACAAAAGAAGATACCAAATTGTTTACTGATACAATTGTAAAGCTGAATCTTCAAAAGCTTGGAGTGGTGGCTATGGCAGCTTTACACGGAGAAAAATAAATTATAAGTCAATTATAAGTTGAAGGATTGTGCTGTTAAGGTATAATAATGGTGGTGCAAAATATTGAAAGTGGGTTCGTCACAAATTTTTATTTGAATTATTTGCTTGGTTGTTGTTAGAAGATAAAACTTTCATACAAGTATATTTGTCTCATTTCTGACCATTTAGTTTCTAATTGAGCTAGTTCAAGAAACTTCTAAATAGAATAATTATAATATGTACACAAGGAACTTGTCGAAGATACAATTTAAAACGAAAGACGTGTTTAGTTCGTATATTTCTTGATTGTGGCCTGCTTATACATTATTAACTTTTAGTGGTTAGAATTGAATGTGAATTGTAAAAAAAGTATTGCTTTTTGAATATTATCTTTGTTGTCTAATTTGAAATTATTTCTTACATAATTCTGCCTCGCCCGTTCCCCCTGAACATAATCCTGGGTCAGCCCCTGGTGGTGATTGATAATAGAGTGGGAGTGGGATGAGATTGTGGTGGTGTAAAGAGGTGGTGGTGGTGGTTAGCGATGGGTGCAATGATTTTTTTGGTCGACGTCGTCTGTGATGGCTAGGGGTGGACATGATTTCATTTGATTTTGGTTCTAAGAGAATCAAATCGAATTATGAACAAATAGTTTTTTGATAATAGAACCAAATGGTTTTTTTAAGATATGGAACCAAGCCGGAACTAAACCATTCGGTTCTGGTTTATTTCTAATTTCATTACTGATTGAGAAAAAAGAAAAAGAACCGAAGGTTGAGGCTTTAATTTCATAAATTCATGCAACAGTGGTAGTTGAGTGATACGGTAGACGGCAGGCGGTAATTGTTGGTCTCTATGCGAGAGTCGGTGTATAAATTGAAAATGAGAGAAAATGATAAATGAATTAGTTCTAAGAACCATTATTTTTTTATAGAATCAAATCGAATCAATCTGTTTGGTTTGGTTTGGTCATTTTGTCCACCCCTGGTGGTGGCCGTGGGTAGGGTAGGTGAAAAAATCTATTTTTTTATCACCAATTTGTGTTTAAGAAAAAATAGTGTTTATGGAATAGAAATGAGAAAAAATCATATCTCATGCCTTAAGTTTATGTCAATTCAATTTTAAGATAACAAGTTTATTTTTCAAAACTCAAGTGGTAATTAAATTCTATTAATTAAATAAAAAATTATATATAAAACAACACCAATCTCTCTCCAATCCGGGCCTCAGTCATCGGCATTCGCTGGTTTTTGTTCCAACCCAAACCCAATCCAATACGATCGGTTTGATCGAAATTCAACCCAACCCAACCCACGAAAAAATTGAAACCCAACCCAACCCAACCAAATGTCGGTCGGGTTGGAACAACCTTTCAACAAATATTAAAGTTTCAAAATACTGAATTTTTTTCTACCAAAATACTGAATATAAAGCAACATTAATAGTCATTCAATATCAATAAATTTCATATTTGATTAACACATAACATATTTGACAACATTTACATAATGTAAACATCACTAAAGAAGCTCTTATATACCTGGAAACGTGCAAAATAGAGGAGTAACTCAGATACAAATGCTGAATTTTTCATTCTGATAATTATAATTTTGTAATCACAAAATGAAGACAAAGAACTCATAATTTTGTAAATGCTCCAAAACCAAATGTCGGTCGGGTTTTTTGGTTCAACCCGTAACCCAACCCAACCCGAACCGCCTTCAACGCCCCAAACCCGAACCCAACCCAAAAAATGAAAAAAACCGACCCAACCCGATCAATTTGGGTTGGGTGGGGGTGGGTTGGGTTGGGTCGGGCGGGTTGAGCAGGTTGGGCGGTTTTTTGCTCACCCCTAATCTTATTCAACGATGAACTAATCACCGCACAACGAAAACTGTGCATCGTCTGCTCATATAGTAGAGAGAGGGAGAAACATAGCGGCCATTGAAGAACATGATTGAGCATCGCTGGTATCTTATCATGTTCTTCAGCGAAGACTGAGCAACCGGTGTAATTTAAATCTATTTTTTACAATTGATAATTGAAAAATAGCATTTGGTATAATTTACAGAGTACTCATCCAATCAAATAACTTCAATTCTCACTTCCGAAATTTGGTTAATTAAATTTGACACAAGTTCGGAGAAATCAATAGCATTTGACTAGTTCTCTTGAATTTATATTGATTTGTTGCATGTGATATTGTTCTAATGGCTTGTGACTAATTTTCTTGGACTTGTGACCTGTAAATATTGATTTGTTACCTATGAATGGTGACATGTGAACTATAATTTGTGGCCAATTAATATTGACTTGTGAACTAGAATCAGTGACTTATGAATATATGTGACCTATATAATATGACACATGATTTACGAATGGTGACCCGTGACCTATGAACTATAACATGTGACCAATTAATATTAACTTGTGAACCGTAACCTATGATCTGTGAACATATGTAACCTATACAATATAATGTGTAACATGTAAACTATAGCTCGTAATTAATTAATATTGACTTGTAAACTATAACATGTGAACATCTGTGACCTATTCAATATGAAATGAGACCCGTGACCAGTGAACTAAAATTTGTGACCAATTAATATTGACATATGAACATAAATTGGTGATTTATGACCGATTTTTTTTTATTTGTGACATATAAACATTGATCTGTATCTTGTAATAAGTGCACAAAGACATGTCACGTGTCATTGCATCAATATCACAAATTATCTATCTTATTGGTTACAAATTATTTATTGATTACAGATTAACCTAATTTATTGATCATAAACTGTATTATACAACCCCATCACAATCCAAACCTAACACCACAACCACCATCGGCACCACCACCACTACCACCAGAACCACCACCATCATCGCCAACACTACCAGGCACATCGAATCAGAAAACCACCAACAAACCATCCACGACAAACAAGACATCCAAATAAGACAAATAACAAACACAAAATAGGAACACCAACACCAAACAACTTCAGCGGCATTATTAAACAACTGCAGTGGCATTGGCCAATACCCACATCAAACAAATGCAGTGGCATCATCTCAAAATCACAATCTAAAAATAACATACCAAGATCACACCACACCACCGTCTGGCCATCTCATAACATCAATCACCTAAATAATTGGTTGCAAATCACCACCATCCACAATTACCACTACGACTTTTATCTCAAATCAACAACAATCACCCCACCGAATTGAGACCACTATATGCAGCCACATTATAATTTCACACCACCACCTTTTATTGCTGACTCCTTGCTAGAATCTTCCACCTCTATTGCTCAATCTGTTCCCATCAAGGCTATATTTCTTTGGTGGAATTGCTAAACCCGATTGAACCAAACCAACTTCAACCCCCCATTTGAACAAAGTCTCCAGCCCAAAATATTATATTCAATCGTAGTCAACCACCATATTCGCCACCAATTCACCACCATATCAACAATCAGTTCACCACGCAATTCAATTTACCAAAACACAGCTCTCATCTCATCTCATATCTAAACCAGTATTAATCCCAAACACCCTGAAAACTCCCCAAAATTGCGTGGTGAAGACACTATACGTCGCGCAACAGCAATGAGCACTGCTGCACACGGCACTCCTTTGTGCACAGTGGCGATGCGCCGCCGCTGCGTACGAAGGAGCGTCTGCACACTGCCTCATCGTCGTTGAGTAGCGATGACAAAGAGATAGAGAAGATAACGGAAGGTGGATTCGCGAGAGAAGTGAGAGACCGTCGTTGGGGTCGCGGTGGTGTGCGGGTGAGGTGAGTGGAGTGGAGTGGGTTATTAATATTATATTAAATACTAATTATCACCTGAATTTTGAATTAAAAACTTGCAAAGTTGATTTTTGAATTGTAATGTTAAAAAACAAGTCCANAGCAGCTTGCATTGGACAGATCAACTGCACCTATTGTATCAAGTTTTGCATCCAATCCAAGTGCATTTCAGCAGAACTTTGCAAATGCTATGATCAAGATGGCAAATATTCAAGTTCTTGTGGGAAAAGCTGGAGAGATCAGGAAAAATTGTAGGGTTTTTAATCCAAAGTCTCGTAAAGGGTTTTAAGATCATTATTCTCACAAACTTGTTATAAATTCAATACTTTGTATACAAGATAAAAAACAGCTCTCTTGCTTATCAATTTTATGTGTCATTTTATTTATTTTCATTGAATATACAATTAATTTGTACTAGGTTTGATAAATATGAAACAATAATATTTTTGTGGCTCCTATTATTAATTTTGTAACCCAAGTATTTACATGAACTAGAATGCAAGTAATGTATTGCAAAATGAATTATAAGTGTGATTCCACTTTCACCTACAATTGAACAAATCAAACAAGTAAGTTAAGGAATTAACTAATAAAGGAAATCAAATTAGAAAACTAAAAATGAAGAACAATAAGAACGACAAATTCCCCTTTTATTAGGCTCAGAAAATCTGATCCACCACCACAAAGGCAACACCAAATCTGGAGAAAATTCGAAGGGCACACCCAAAGCACGAAGAACAGAAGCAGATTTCAGGAATAGTACAAAGCAGGACAGTTTGAAGCACAAAGCAGAGAACTGTTCTTTGCTACTTCTAAAGCACAAAGCAAGAATGCTTTTTGGTGTTTTAAAATGAGGACCAAGGACTCCTTTTTATAGGCCAGAAATCACAAACGCATTCTAGGAAAATCTCTTCAAGATTGAGTTCAAAGACAATGATAGGAGTTTCAAACTGTGAAAAAGATAAGAGATAGGAGGAGTTTCAAACCGTGAAGGAGATAGGGAATAGGTTTTCCACTTCAAAAATCATTTCCTTAATTGGGTATTGAACATCTAACCCAATGGGCTGATTTCCTCTAAATACCCAATAAGATTTGGGCTACAAACGTTTGTGGTGTGAATTTCAACATTCTTCAATCCTGGGCTTATACCCTATGAAGTTAAACGGACCATGATTTTTCATCATCGTCTAGGGATTATTTGGGCATCACAAAAAATACAATAAGAAAATTAAGTTTCCCTTTACATAAGTTTTGAAATTCTTGTAGTAGATGTAGAGCTTGTTTGGGAAGGATTAAAATTCAATTAAAATTGAAAATATAATCGTTATTGAGTCTCACTCGTTTAATAAAAGTCAACTCCAACGGCTACACTTTCAATTTTAATCTGATTTTAATCCCTCCCAAACAAGCTCGTAATAAGTAGAATTTAAATTTTTGGAAGCAAATTTCATCATTGTTAGATAATGATGCAATACAAAACATGTCTTATTTATTTTTGTTTTAATTTCCTTTTTCAAAGGCCTTTTTGTCCTTATATCATAGGATTTTCTAATAATTACCACTATTAAATCTCTTTTATATTAAAAAGTTAGTTGTTTTGTCACTTGTTGATTGAATAAAATTATAGAACTTGGAAAATTTTCAATTCTTTAGATTTGAGTCGGTATTCGTGTATAAAATCAATAAATCGATCTACTCCTTACTCAAGTTCCGAGTGAAAACCAAGCAAAATTTCATTGATTCCACCTCTTTTTATCTAGATTTTCTTAATTCGTTATTCAACTTCGACATAAACGAATTGTAAAGATTAAGAATCAATTCCAACACATTCATACCCGAATCATTGAGTCTTTATTATCAAGTATTCATTAAATATGTATTTGATTGTATTATTTCTTATTACTAATTCCTCTCTCGCGCTGCATCATATTAGAAATTCTTACTTGCGGAACATAGGGTTGAAGTATTCTTAAACTTTAAACTATAATGATAATAATTATTTACCTTATTACCTTTATTCAACATCAGAGGAAGTAAATTTGTACTAAAAAGATGAGGTAAATTTAACGAGCTCGTATTAATTTGCTTCTTAGTTTCCTTCACAAATCTGTAAGTTTTACTATGCATATTCTGTAAATTCCAAATTTCTAACTTGCTATTCGTGTAATCTGCATGTGCTAAATAGAAACAGGAAGCTTAGGATTGGAGAAAGAAACCAAATTCTTCAGTTTTACTGTGCATAGAACTTGACACAGCCCACCTGATGATGGCCCAAAGATCCTCCAAGTCAGTTGCAGAGGTTCAAAATATTATATTCAATCGTAGTCAACCACCATATTCGCCACCAATTCACCACCATATCAACAATCAGTTCACCACGCAATTCAAATTACCAAAACACAGCTCTCATCTCATCTCATATCTAAACCAGTATTAATCCCAAACACCCTGAAAACTCCCCAAAATTGCGTGGTGAAGACACTACACGTCACGCAACAGCAATGAGCACTGCTGCACACGGCACTCTTTTGTGCACAGTGGTGATGCAACGCCGCTGTGTACGAAGGAGCGTCTGCGCACTGCCTCATCGTCGTTGAGTAGCGATGACAAAGAGACAGAAGATAACGGAAGGTGGATTCGCGAGAGAAGTAAGAGACCGTCGTTGGGGTCGCGGTGGTGTGCGGGTGAGGTGAGTGGAGTGGAGTGAGTTATTAATATTATATTAAATACTAATTATCACCTGAATTTTGAATTGAAAACTTGCAAACTTGATTTTTGAATTGTAATGTTAAAAAACAAGTCCAGAATAAAAAAAAACTATTTACAGTAAAATTTGGAATTATGAAAGTAATTTTCCCTATTTTAAATAAAATCTTGCCCAATGAAAGACATGACCCAATTTCAATTGGGCCTAGTTCGGTCCAGATAGGATTGAACTGAGCTACCCTTCTCCCTCTCGTACAACTCCCTCTAATTAACTCAAGCTTTAACTAAAATCGCACACCCATGAGGTCGTTCTGAACAGATTAAACACTGCACATAATTGGATGAAAACGTACTGTACGCGCATTCCCCTTGAACCCATCGGCCAGTTGCATCTCAAGCAAAATACTATGCTTTCTAACTATACATACATAAAATACGTATATATACACTTTCATACACAGCGTGTTTTCCATTTCTAGTTCTAGGGTTCATCGCCATCTCAAACCCCAATATTTTGCTCTAATTTACGGAATTTTAGTTTTATTAATTCTAGTTATGGCTGACTGGCAACAATATCTTCAATCAGTAATTTTTGGCGTTATTTTCTCGTTTTTAGTAGCCAAGCTTTTCTCTATAATCTTTGCTTTCCGCGATGAAAACCTCCGAATCACCCGTTCTGCTACACCCGAACCGAAATCCGAACCCGAAGAATTTCAGACTTCGTCGCCTGAGGTTTTGGAGGAAAAAGAGCCGTTAATGCGTGAAAGTGAAGAATTAGGTTATGGAAGCTCCACTGTGGGTGATCATAGTGACAGTGATGATGACTGGGAGGGTGTGGAGAGTACTGAGTTGGATGAGGAGTTTAGTGCGGCAACGGCGTTTGTGGCAGCTACTGCGGCCGATAAGGCGGCTCAGAAGGTGTCGAATGAGTTGCAGTTGCAGCTCTATGGATTGTATAAAATTGCAACCGAGGGACCGTGTAGTGCTCCCCAGCCGTCTGCCCTGAAACTCACCGCTCGTGCCAAATGGTGATTTTTTTTTCTGCATTAAATACGATTACTTGGAAGTAAACTGAGTTGTTTCTGTTATGTGTAATGTCTGTTAAATATTGATGTGAAAGTTTAAATGGATTTAAATGGTAGCTGTTTGGATTGGCTTGTTTTTTTGGGAAAAATGATGGGAGGTTATGATTTTAATTTGGAACTATGATGCATAAATTTAGTTAAACTGAACAGGCTATTAATTATGGCAAATATCGTGATTTGCCAGCTGAATTGTGCTGTTATTACATTTGTCATATGTGGTGCAAGAGAACTTGGTGGAACTGATGGGATAAGGTTTCACTAGTTATTTAGGCTGTGCTTTGTTGCTTTCTAATTGTGACTATCATAGCTACAAATAAGGTTGCAGTGGATATAAATTGATTGTCATGTATTTCTTTGACATGTGTTATATGGCTTATTTGCCTGCTCTTTAACTTATGATGAATATTAATGTCATCGGACTGAAGATCTCCTGTCTGACTAGTGGAACTATTTATTTCTTTGATGTGTTAGGCAAGCATGGCAGAAACTGGGCACCATGCCTCCAGAAGAAGCCATGCAAAAGTACATTGACATTGTTTCTGAGTTATATCCCACCTGGGCTACTGGTGCAGCTACTGTGAGATCAGAATCTTTTTATTTCGATTGCACCATTTGCAATTTATTAATTCTTTTATATATTTGAACTAGTTTTAATAAACAGCAATCCTTAATTTGCCACTAACTAATAACAGAAGAGGAAAGATAAAGAAGTCAGTGATCCACCAAGTGCTGGCTCCAAAGGACCAATGGGACCTGTTTTTAGCAGTTTTGTACATGAGGAGGAACCTGAAATTGAATCGTAAGGATCATGAACTTCCGTAATATGTTTGAAGTCCCACGTTACAACAGTTTGTGTTTCTTTTAAAGAGTGATCACTTTTTTCTTCATGTATGGTTGTATAGTTGTCAAGGGCTGCATCTTTGAATTCTACTGACATGTTTTATGTTAATATTTTCTCCCCCTTTCACCAGTAATTTTCAACGCTTCCTCGAGGAGAGAAACATTTACAGAACAGATTTATGCATTTTTTCCCCCTCTTTCAGCCTGGAGGTTGGGGGGAGAGAGGGAGATAATGTGTGTTTGTGCGCATGATTTGTTTCAAGAGTGGCTTTTTTTGTGTTGACCTTTCTGAATGATCGATCTTGTAGTATACAAACATAGTGATTCGATCAATTTATAGTTCCACAAGAAGTTGCTAAAATACATTATTTTATTTGGGTCATTCGTGTACCTTTTCATAGCTTTATAAAATCATGATTGTTAATATAAATATAGAGTCAAAAAAGGGTTTATAAATGCAGACTGAATGAGCTTCAATATTGATGTTTTGAATGTGTTGTTTTTGTTACCGAAAATATGTGGTCGCGGTCCCCAACTTTCGCAAATAAAGCACATGGGTCCTCAATCATCTTTTTTGGCTTTTTAAGTCACCAAACTTTCATTTTTGGTGCATGCTGGTCACCACTGGATAGTAACCATCATTTATTTCTGTCAAGTAGTCACTTGCCTTTCATGTGATGACTAATTTGAGGTTTTTATTCTTCGACCCACCATTATGAATGCATTTCTCTCTAAAAAAGGAAGATATATTCCACCACTCATGAGTTCAGTCATGAGCTAAGCTCATTATATCTTTTCTCTTTTTCTCTTTGTGAGAAATGTGTCCATCGTAGTTGGCTGACAAAAATAATATAAGTCTCTCATCATCTGCAAGGAAATTAAATTTTTAACTGGAAATTTAATGATATTTTATTCAGTGGGGAGGCCAACGTGCAGCTGAAATGAAAGTTTGCTGACCTAAATCTCAGAAATATTGATTGTGTGCCCATGCTTTACGTGTGAATGTTGTGAGACCATGGCTGCAGATTTTCCTTCTGTAAATCGTGGATGATGCTGGCAATGAAACTGGGAATCCCTTCCTCTTTCTGTCTTGCCCCCCTTCTCCTCAACTCCACCCTTTAAATGGCTTAACTGCGAAAGCTTTCTTTTTCATTATCTGAATAAGGGGAGATATAATTTTTGTTTTCATCACCTTTGTACTTAGAGGAGAAGGCATGTGTGTGGAATAGTGTTGAGTAGAAAAATAAATCTATGTAGCTTTTTTTCTCTTGTAATTCATGTTTTGAGAAGAAAATTTTGAATTCCGAATGTCTCATCTGTTCTTTGCAGAAAATTGGATGCTATACATGCATTTGCACGAGAAGGAGATGAAGAGAAGTTACTTAAGTGTATAGAGAGTGGTGTTCCCGTGAATCTGAAGGGTTAGTGGACATTAAATTCTTAAATTATCTGCTATTGTTTGATGTGATATGCATTAAAGCTTGGTAATATTGATATTAGTTATTATAGAAAAAATGACTGAAGCAGTAGAAATGCTTCATATGTTCTGCCTGCTCATATCTGGCAAATAGTTTGGTGTGTGTGTGTG